GAAGGAGGCGGCGGACTGGTGCCTGCCGCAGTCGCCGGACACGGAGGTCCACGAAGTGGCGGCCTTCCTGCGCCACGCTGATACTGATGGGCTCGTGGAGACGTTGATGCGTGCCCAGGCGGAGGACGTGTGGACGGAACACCACAGCAGCGGCTTGCTCGACCGCCGCGACCGGGCGCTGCCGGCAGGCTCGCAGGAGCTGCAGGCGCGCTTGAGCGAGCGCGTGGCGTATTTCGCGCTGGGCGAGTGGCTTGAGCGCGAGGGCCGCACTGGCGACGCCTGCGGAGCGTTTGCGCGCGCCGCGTGCTCGAGCGACGGCTGGGCTCAGGCCTACCGCAGGTGGGCGGATTGCCTGAATAAGGCGGGGCGCGAGCGCGACGTCGCCACTGTCCTCGCGCTGGCGGTCGAGCGCGGTGTGTGGCAGCACCCTCTGCAGCGCCCAAGCGACCTCTACGTGCCCGGCCTCAGGGCATCGCCCTTCTGGGACACAGGCGAGTTGCCTGCCGCGCGCGCATTGGAAGCCGCGTTCCCTGCCATCCTGAAGGAGTTCCGTGCGCTGCGCGCCGACGCGGAGGCTTGGCGCTGGACAGGCGTGGCCGACCAGCCGCTCGTCGTCAGGGGCAACTGGTCGGACTTCAAGCTGGTGGAAAACGGGCGGAGGCACCCTGTCAACTGCGCACGCTGCCCCGAGACCGTGAGAGCCGTGCAGGAGCGCTGCCCCGAGATCGCGACTCAAGTCAAGGGCTCGCTCATCTTCTCCCACCTGTCGGGGGGAACAGTCATCCGCCCCCACTGCGGGCCCACCAACACGCGGATCCGGCTTCACCTGGCGCTGGAGGTGCCAGACGACCCGAAGCCGCGAATCCGCGTCGGCGAGACGTGGCGCACCTGGGAGGAGGGCATGTGCCTGGCCTTCGACGACAGCTTCGAGCACGAGGTCGTGCACGAGGGGCCCGACTCCCGGGTCGTGCTCATCGCGGACGTGTGGCACCCCGATTTCCCCGACGAAATGCGGCGGCGGCACCTGCACGGGCAGCACCTGCGGCGCTACTGCGCCGCGGGTGCAGCCGGCGATGGGGCCCAGCGGGAGTACGACGAGCACCCCGTGGACCCCGTGGAGGTGTACTTCTCGGAGGGCGTCAAGTGTACACCTCCACAGATCCCATCCTTGGCCCAGGATCGGTGTGTGTGTGTGTATGTGTGTGTGGGTGCGTGTGTGGGGGTGTGCGTGTAGGTGTGCGTGTGCGTAAGCGTGTACACGTCCGCGTGTGCATGTGCGTGTACGTGCGCGTGCGCGTGTGCGTGTGCGTGTGCGTGTGCGTGTGCGTGTGCGTGTGCGTGTGCGTGTGCATGTGCATGTGCGTGTGCGTGTGCGTGTGCGAGTGCGTGTGCGTGTGCGTGTGCGTGTGCGTGTGCGTGCGTGCGTGGTGCGTGGGTGCGTGGGTGCGTGGGTGCGTGGTGCGTGGGTGCGTGGGTGCGGGGCGTGGGTGCGTGGGTGCGTGGGTGCGTGGGTGCGCGGTGCGTGGGTGCGTGGGTGCGTGGGAGTGCGTGGTGCGTGCGCGCGTGCGTGCGGCGCGTGCGCGTGGCGTGCGTGCGGTGCGTGCGCGTGCGTGGCGTGTGCGCGTGCGCGTGCGTGGGCGTGCGTGTGGTGCGTGGGTGCGTGGTGCGTGGTGCGTGGTGTGGTTGCGTGTGCGTGGGCGTGGTGCGTGGTGCGTGGTGCGTGGTGCGTGGTGCGTGGTGCGTGGTGCGTGGTGCGTGGTGCGTGTGCGTGCGCTGTGCGTGGTGCGTGGTGTGCGTGGTGGTGGTGCGTGGTGCGTGCGTGGGCGTGGGCGTGGGTGCGTGGGTTGCGTGGTATGGGTGCGCGGTGCGTGGTGCGTGGTGTGGGTGCGTGTGCGTGCGGTGCGTGTGCGTGTGCGTGCGTGTGCGTGCGTGCGTGCGTGTGCGCGCGTGGTGCGTGGGTGCGTGCGTGGGGTGCGTGGGTGCGTGGCGAGTGCGTGGGTGCGTGGGTGCGTGGGTGCGCGTGGGTGCGCGTGGGTGCGCGTGTGCGCGTGTGGGCGTGTGGGCGTGCGCGCGCGCGTGCGCGTGCGTGTGGGCGTGTGGGCGTGTGGGCGTGTGGGCGTGTGGGCGTGTGGGCGTGTCGGCGTGTCGGCGTGTGGGCGTGTGGGCGTGTGGGCGTGTGGGCGTGTGGGCGTGTGGGCGTGTGGGCGTGTGGGCGTGTGGCGTGTGGCGTGTGGGCGTGTGGGCGTGTGGGCGTGTGGGCGTGTGGGCGTGTGGGCGTGTGGGGCGTGTGGCGTGTGGGCGTGTGGGCGTGTGTGGGTGTGTGGGTGTGTGTGCGTGTGTGTGGTGTGTGTGTGTGTGTGTGTGTGTGTGTGTGTGCGTGTGTGTGTGTGTGTGCGTGTGTGCGTGTGCGTGTGCGTGTGCGTGTGCGTGTGCGTGTGCGTGTGCGTGTGCGTGTGCGTGTGCGTGTGCGTGTGCGTGTGCGTGTGCGTGTGCGTGTGCGTGTGCGTGTGCGTGTGCGTGTGCGTGTTCGTGCGTGCGTGTGTGTATTTGCCGTCCTCGCCAAGCCGGAGGGCGCATGCACCGATTGTGGGTCCAGCAGTGGCCTGGGGCAAAGGTTTGGGGCAGGTGTACGGATGGCGCTCTCCGAACCTCCTGGAGCAAGAACTCCGCGGTATGCCCGAGGTGGTGGAGGCCGCCGCGACGGTGCACCGCGACGCGGAGGGCCGCCAGACGTTACTCGCTTACGCCGAGTGCGCCGCCGGGCCTGGCCGCACGCCCGCCGACGTGTGCGGGCTGTGCGCGGAGAGGCTGCGCGCCTGCGGCCTCGGCAGCCTGGTGCTGCCGGTGACCAGCTGGCCGCGCCGGGCGGACGGCAGCGTGGACCGGGGCAGGCTGCCGCCTCCTCGGCTGCACGTCAGAGCGACCTTTCTCGGGAACTGCAAAGGGGATATGGTCCAACGCCGGGGTGTGGTTTGCGATCGGCACCGTTGGGGCCTGGGGGGCACGGCACTGTCCTCGTCTGGCTTCCTCGGGGCGCGGCGGGGAGCTCTATCGAGGTCCCCGCCCGCCCCCCCCAGGTTGCTGGTTGCAAGCCACACCCTTTGCAAACCACACCTTTCGGAGTCGCCGACCTTCGCCGGAGTGACTGTTGGGTCGATGTCTCTTCACGGGAGCTTTGGGCGCCGACATTGACACCCGCTTTTCTGGCATTTGGACAGCATTCAGAACGCATTTGGCCCTTCCTCCTGCTCCTCGCCCCTCCTGCTCTTCCTCTCTTTTGTGAAGGGGCGAATCTAGTCCAAGTCTGGTGCCAAATGTGTTCCAGAATTCGTTCCAAAACAGGCCCAAGTCGGATAGCGCCGACCTTCTCCAGGCCTGCCAGATGGGGTCCGAGTAGATGGGGTCGGAGGATTGCGCAGCATCGCCAAGGTATCGCCGATGCGGCTCGATGTGGAGGCCGATTTTCTCCACGCCGGCGTCGGTCGCGGCGATGTGGCGCGCGCGATCCTCCGACTCCATCCACTCGGACCCCATTGGGGAGGTATCTACTTTTGGTGCGCGGCTCTGGGGTGGCGCTGCGGGGGCGAGCCCAGCCCAAGCACGCTGGCCGCCACCCCTGCGATCCGACGTCGCGAAGACTCGAAGAATAAGTTCACAAACGAGAATATCATGACCGAGCCCTGGACCCCATCTTTCGTCCCCACTTTGCGGGACGGGTCGATCTGTACGACCTATCGCACCGCGCAAAACGGCCAGCCAGCCGCACACCAGGGGTCACTCCTGCCCAGGGTCGCTCTCACGCGCAGCCGACGCCTCCGCCGGCAGCGCTGCTCGCAGACGAGGCGCGGCGGCTGCCTCCCCAAGGCGGCGGTGTGTGACGGCCCGCGTGCCGTCGACAATTCGGGGGGGCGAAATCGGTGAGCACGGAAACATTGAGTCCCAAGACCAACTCGGCGGCGCGCCCGTGGGGGAGGTAAGCGGGGGGGCAGGTCAGGCGTTGCGCAACGGGGAGCGATAGTGGAGGGGTGAGGTGCACCTTCAGTGCGCCAAGGGTGCCCTAAGGGCGCCCCTGGGGCCGAAACGGGTCACGAATGATGCACGTTTCCTTCTTCCCCCCCACTACCGCTCCCCTATGAAGCAACGCCCAAGCATGCTTCCTCGGGAGTGGACGGGGCCTCTCATCTGAGAAGCCGTCAGTATCGATGGAACATAGTTCGAACTAGTCCCATAAGGGCGGACGAACTTTCTGAGAAAGCCCGCCCCCTCTGCATTCCTCCCAGGGCTCGCTGCCGACCAGCGGCAGTTCTTGCCAATCTTGGACCAGAGTCGTTGTCGGCGTCACCGCGGACGTCCATGTGAAACGAGCGTCGCATGCCCAACAGCGGCAGGTGTCGGTTTTGAATTGAGTTTGTTGTTGGACATCTTGTTTTTTTGTTTCCGTACCCACGTCGGGCCAAACAGTCGGCTCCTCTTGTCCCCGCACAGACCCCATGATGCCGCTGCGGAAAAAAAGGCAGCAGGTTGTGGCAATGTCCGGCATCTGGGGGGCCCATCCAGGCCCCACCTTCGGTGGCGCGCGAAAGGGGGGGGCAGGGTCGGGGCGGTCGCCTTTCAACAACCCCCCACCCTGGGTCTTCTCACAAGCCCGCCCCGCCCCCCGAACCCGCCCTCTTTTGCTTGCGGCCGACTCCCCCCCCCTCCGCCGACGCTTGTCGCTTGTCCTGCTGCTCTTCCTCCTGCGCTGGCCTCCTCCTCCTCCTCCTCCTCCTCCTCCTCCTCCTCCTCCTCCTCCTCCTCCTCCTCCTCCCCCTCCCCCTCCTCCTCCTCCCCCTCCTCATCCTCAACCTCGTCCTACCACCATGCGGATGCCGGCACGAAGCTTGTCTTGGCCATCCACCCTGATGATTCGGACCATTTGCAAGCTGCGGACCTGCTTGTCAAACATGCATGTGCCACGCTCAAGATGGCAGTTGAGATGCAAGGGGAGGCGGGCCCTCAAAATGCAGGCTTCGGAAACGCAGGCCCGCGGGCGCGCCTTCGGCGCCAGGCCCAACAATCGGACATTGAAACTTAGCTGTGAAATCCGTGAGGGCTTCGCCCCCTGCCGCCGGCCCCCTCTCTCGGAGAATGGGCCATGGAAGAGCTAAGTCATGAGGCCTTGGCGCTGTCGTGAAGCAGTATCGAAACTTCATGCGAAGCCGATTCGCAGTCAACAAAACCAACTGATCACAAGAGGGGTTACCACACCTGGCGATTAGTAAGACGTGTATGGTTTACGGGCTTGGTTACCACACCTTGCGATTACAGGGCCGAGGGAGTTCTCGCAGTTTGGGTTACCACGCCTTGCGATGGATGTGCGTGAAGGGTGGCACCGAATTTCAGAAATGTGCCAAATCCCCTGTGTTTTTGGACCCTGACCCCGCGGATCTGCGTGAGGGGTGGCACCGAATTTCAGAAATGTGGCAAATCCCATGTGTTTTTGGACCCTGACCCCGCGGATCTGCGTGAGGGGTGGCACCGAATTTCAGAAATGTGGCAAATCCCCTGTGTTTTTGGACCCTGACCCCGCGGATCTGCGTGAGGGGTGTCGATTTCGAGCCCCCCCAGCAATTCAGACAACGCGCCCAGGAGACGCTAAAAATCTTGTTTGGGCCTCCCCCCCCCTCGCGCGGTCAATCAACTAGTTACAGTAACCAGCAAGAAGTCAACTAGTTACAGCAACCAGCAAGAAGCAGAACTGTAACACTGGAAACTACAAGCTACAACTGGTACAAGAAACTGCGAACCCGCGCCTACAGCCTGGTGGCCCCACAAGGGGGCCGGCGGACTTAGCTGACTTGAACATTGACTTGGCTCGTTTCAGTCGTGAAGGCGTGCCTCGGACGCGAGTGCGCGTGCCTTGCGTGAAACTATATGACCCCGTACGTGGAACGTAAAACCGAACCATTTAACCACTCGGGTGTCATCGTCATCATCGTCATCATGATCGCCATTATCCTAATTTTCGTCTGTAGTTGCGCGCTCATGGGGCGAGTGTGCGTGCACGTACGTTTGTGCACCTGGCAGAAAACAGGCATGCATCTGCTCCCTATGGGGCCACGTACCGTACGAGGGGTGTTCCGACATGGGCATGCGGACGCATGCGGACGCTGCCACTGGGGCGTTCGGTGGAGTTCCCTATGGGGCCACGAAGCGTGTGAGGGGTGTGCCGAAATGGGCGGAGGAGGACGCATGCGGACGCGGCCACTGGGGCCTTTGGTGGAGCTCGCTATGGGGCCACGTAGGGCGCGACGGGAATGCCGAAATGGGCATGCGGTGGGCGGGGAGGACGCATGCGGACGCGGCCATTGAGGACTTGGGTGGGGCTCCCTATGGGGTCACGAACCGTGTGAGGGGTGTGCCGAATTGGGCATGCGGCAGGCTGGGGGGCGCATGGGGACGCGGCCACTGGGGCTTTCGGTGGAGCTCCTTATAGGGCCACGAAGCGTGTGAGGGGTGTGCCGAGCAGCGGTAATGAGGGGGAGGAGGGGGACGAGGAGGGAGGGAGGAGAACGCGGGGCGCTGTGTCTTCGAAACTAGGACCCATAACCACAATATGGTTGGGAATGATGACTGCGATGATGATGATGATGATGATGATGATGATGATGATGATGATGATGATGATGATGATGATGCTGCTGATGCTGATGCTGATGCTGATGCTGATGCTGCTGATGATGATGGTGGTGGTGGTGGTGATGATGTTGATGATGATGATGATGATGATGATGATGATGCTGATGATGATGATGATGATGATGATGATGGCAGGAAGAGGAGAAGGAGGAGGAGGAGGAGGAGGAGGAGGAGGAGGGGGCAGCGGGAGGAGGATGAGGAGGAGTGAGCGCGGGGACCGTCCCTTCAAACGAGGACCCAACACCATAGGATGGTCGGGAAACATGAACTCATAATGGGCATTTTTTGAGGGTGGGTGAAACTATTCCCCTGTGGTGCTGTCCAATGAAGTGTTTTCGTGCGGATTTCCAATAGGGAATCCTTGCGGGGTGCTTCCCAATGGATTCCTGTTGAGGGGCGTTCCAATCGCATGTGTTGTATCGTTTTCGAAAGCATTTCTGCTGTAGGGGCTTTCCAGTCGAATCCTTTTTGTGGTGTTGCGAAAGGATTCCCATTGTGACTGATTCCAATGGAATGCCGTTGTGGTGTCCTCCAACGGCGTATTGTTGTGAGGTTTATAAATCTAGTATGTTTGTGGTGCTTCCTCATCGATTCCAGTTGTGACGTGTTCCAATAGAATATGCTTGTGGTGTGTTGCAATGGATTTGTTGTGTGATGTTTCCATGTGGGGGTTCCGTGTGGTGCTTTCCCAAAGGAATTCTGTCGTGATGCTTTACAATCGAATCCCTTTGCAGCGGGTTCCAAAGGATTCGCACTGTCAGGATTTCCCGTAAAATCCCGTTGTGCTGTTTTCTAAAGGGTCTTTGTTGCGAGGTGTTCCAACACAATCTCTGCGTGGCGTTTTCCAGGGGAGTCCAGCCGTGAGGCTTCCAAGTAGAACTTTTTTGCAGCGCTATCCAAAGGGCTCCTGTTGTGAGTGTGAGGCTTTCCGATTGAGTCCCTTTGTGATGTTTGCCGATGGATTCTGTTTTGTGTTGCTTTCAAGTAGGAGTTGTTTGCGGCATTTTCAAACAAGCTTTCCGATGTGAAGCTTTCCCGTAGAATCCCTCCGCGGTGCTTCCCCAAGGACACCTAGAATGACGGGCTCCAACCGAATGCCGTCGTGGTGGGCACTTTCCAAAGGATTACGGCTTTCCAGCGGAATTTCTGCGTGGTGTTTTCCAATGGATTCCGCTTGTGAGGCTTTCCAATCGAATATGTTTGCATTTGTTGTCCAAAGGATTTCTTTCGTGCTGCTTTCAAATAGACTCCCCTTGTGGTGCTTACCGAACGATTCCTGTCGTGATGTTTTCCCATAGGAACCGTTTGCGGCGCGTTCCAAGTAGATTTCCTTCAGGATTCCGTTGTGGCGCGTTCCAAAGGATCTTCGTTGCGAGGTGTTTCCATCGAATCCCGGTGTGGTGTTTTCCAAAGGAGTCTTGTCGTGAGGTTTTCCCATCGAATCCTTCTGCGGCGCAACCTAAATGATTCATGTTGCGAGGCTTCCTGGTTGAATCCTTTTTGTTGTACTTTCCGATGGACTATTGTTTCGTGCGGCCTCCCAAAAGGAACCCTCCGTGGTTGTTTCAACAAGGTTATCTGGCGCGAGGCTTTCCCATGGAATACCTCTGTGGTGCTTTCCGATGAGTTCCTTCCCGTGCGGCGTCCCAACAAGGGCCCCTCAGTGGTGCATTCCCATTCAAAAAATCCTTGTATTGTGTTTTCCAAAGGATCCCTTTTTTTCTGTGGTACTTTCCAACAGGAGCCCGTCGTAGCGTTTTCCATGAGATTCACCTCGTGGTGTTTTCCAGCAGGAGCCCTTCGTGGTGTTTTCCAAGGGAATTCTCTTGTGAGGCTTACCAATACACTCCTTGTGCGGCTTGTTTCCACAGGACTCCTGTTGCGAGGTGCTCCGACCGAATCCATGTTGTTGCGCTGTTCATAGGATCTCAATTGCGAGGCCGTCCGAAAAATCGTGCTAGGTTGTTTTGCCAAAATGGTTCCAGTTGTGCGTTCCCACCGAATCCTTCTGTGGTGATTTCCAAAGTATTCCAACGATGATTTTTTTAACGAAATGCGTGTTGCTAGGCAGCGCTGTACAAATCATCCTTGTCGTGGGCCATACAACGAAATTCCTGTGTAGCATTTCGCACAGCGTTCCAAGCCCGAGGCTGGCCAATTGCATATTTTATGTAGTCCAAAAGTGTCCTCGTGTGATGTTTCCCAACAGAAGCCCTCAGCAATGCTTTCTAAATGGTTTCGTTCACTACGCTTTTCAGCATGATCATTGATTTAATGATTCCGAGCGGATTCCTGTTGCGAGTCCATAGAAACCATGTGAGGTGGTTTCCGGAGGTTTCCTGTTGCAGGCGCTCCAGTACAACCTTGTGTTGTGTTGTTCAGAGGATATTTGTTGTGAAGCCGTCCGATACAGTCGTGTGGTTTCTTTTCCACGGGAAGCCAAGTGTAAAGGTTCCCAACAGAGTCCCTCCGAAGCGTTTTCCAAAGGATTCCAATTTCGATAATGTCTAGCAGAATGTGTTTGCAGCGTTTTCTCATGGACCCCTGCTGTCAGGTCATCCACTGGACTCAATGCGTAGCAATACGCACGGAATTCCGAAAGCGAGGTTTTTCCATCGAATCCCCTTGCGGAGCTGTCCAACGGATTCCTCATGTGAGGCTATCAATAGAATCTCTTCGTAGCGTTTCTCAAAGGATTTGTCTTGTGATGTTTTTCCATAGAAACCCCTAGCAGTGCTGTGCAAATGGCTCCGATGATGAGGTTTTCCCACATAATCCCTTCGTAATGATTCCCAGCGGATTCCTGTTGCGAGGACAGAGAATATCGATGCTTCATTTTCCACTAGGATTTGCTTGCGATGCTGAAGGGAGGAGATGCGTATAATGTGTATGAGCGAGAGAGAGAGAGAGAGAGAGAGAGAGGCAAAGGGAGAAAGCGAGAGAGGAAATAGAAGGATAATGATGAAGACAAGGCTGAAAGCTCGTAAAAACTACTCTGGCACACCGAGGGGCTCTACAATCCCCTGGCCTCCTCCCTGAGATTGCCGCGGCGCTTGGTCTCCCTGCGATCCAGTGATCTTCACTGGTATACACCAATCAGATGCTCGATCAGAAGTTCGCGGGATCTGTGAGTGTCGCCGCTTTGGTTCTGGAAAGTTGCCTGCGCGTCACAGGCATCCGATTATGTTTTTTCTTTGGTGTTGTTTTTGTGCGCCTCTTTCCGCGCTGCTCTTTTGCGTCGCTGCGGCGGCCAGCCTCCTTCGAGTACAGGTTCCTCAGCTGCTGTTGCTACCGTCGCATTGTTGGAACGCCGCTCTCGTCACCATCATCATCAGCATCATCATCAGCATCATCATCATCATCATCCTCATCATCAGCATCACCATCATCACCATCACCAAACATTCTACCGCTCTTATCCACGTTGTCATCTTCCTCCCCCCCCACGTCCTCGTCCTCGCCCTGGTCTTCGCCAGCTGCCGCGACCGCGCCCTCCTCGTGCCAAAACTGCTCTGGGGTCGCTACCCCCCCCCCCCTTTTCGCTCCACGCCAGGCCAGCAACGCTGGCTGCTTCTCGGCGCTGCCCGGCCTCTTGTCCCGCCGCCCGGGGAAAGCGCGCGCGCGCGCGCCGGCCCTGCGGGCGGAACCGACGACGACTTCCTGCAGCCACGACGTCCACCGCCACGACAACGCCGACGACGGTCACGACGACCGCGACGACGACGACGACGACCACGACCACGACCACGATCACGACGGCGGCGACGACCACCACGGTGATAGCCAAGCCCGTGGCAGCGACTACGATGGCCGAAAACGTCCGAAGTTTGTATTGTAATCCTCAAGCGTCGGGCTTCGATCCTTCTCAAGGGATGGGAGGAGGAGGATTATTCAGCGAAGAAAAAAATGTGAAGGATACCCAAGAGAGCCTTCGGCGCTGAGCTCTTGGAACGGCAGCATTTCCGACCGTTTCGACGCGTGCATGCGGCTTCTGCACGGTGCATCGATATCGTCGTCCGCAACGCGTGCCGGCTTCTGCACGAGGCATCGATGTCGTCGTTGTATTAGTTGTAGTCGTCGCCGTCGCCATCGCCGTCGTCATCGTCATCGTTATCATCATCGTCATCCGTTCGTCGTCCTCCCCACCCCCGCGCGCGCGGAGGGGAAAGAGGAAGGATGTGAAGGAGGGCCGTACACATTTTTTGACGAAAAATATGGACCGCAAGTGCTTCCTTGTTTTGGGTGGCCCTCCCGCGCGTCTGCAGGCCCCGTGGCTGTCAGCAGCCAGAACCACACGCGACGAGAGGCCGGTTCCAGGGAAGGGGTCGAGAGTTCCAGGGGATGGGGTCTCGAGCCATTTTCTGTTCGTATGAGACGAGTGTTGGCTTCTGCACGTGGAAGCGTCGCCGCGTGGTCGCCACGTCTTCGCTGCCGTCGGTCGTCGTTTCGCCGCGTCGTCTCCGCCGTCGGTCGTCGGGGGCAGCCGCGCCCGCGCCACGGCGGCTGGTGCAGGAGGAGGGAGGAGGCAGGAAAGAAGGAGTGAAAGAACGGACGATGGCAACAAAGATGAGAAGTGGGGATTTGGAGATATGTTGTGTGAGGTGGAGAAGGAGGAGGAGGAGGAGGAGGAGGAGGAGGAGGAGGAGGAGGAGGAGGAGGGGCAGCCGCGCCCGCGCCGCGGCGGCCGGTGCAGGAGGAGGCTGCGCGGCGCGGAGCGCCGAGCGCTGGCCGCCGCGTGCGCCGCCGCCCGCCGCTGCCGCGCCGTCCCTGCTCTCCTCCTCTCCTCCTCCTCCTCCTCCTTCTCCTCCTCCTCCTCCTCCTCCTCTTTCTCCCCTTCTTCCTCATCCTCCTCGTCCCCCTCCACCCCAAGATGGTTCCAGGAGGCCGAGCAGGGCTCAAGATAGCCTCCTGCAGACATCCGAGAGGCCTCAAGATAGCCTCAAGATGACCCAATATAGCTGAGCATGGCTAAAGATAGCCTCCGACAGCCTCGAGCTGAGCAGTCTCAACATAGCCTCCAAGAGGCATCAAGAAAGCCTCCGATCGTGTCTGGATGGGCTGGTGAGGATTCACGAAATGTCCAGAATTCCGAGACGGACCCGGCCGTGGCGACGAGAAGCTTCCCCGATGCCCGATGAGGGCGATCAGAAATGCCCAAACCTTTCGAGCCTCGAAGTTCGAAGGGTGGAGCCTGGGCGGAGCTATTTGCAGAGTAGAACGGCGCGGCGGCCCCTCGGGCGAGGCCTCGACGCGGCCCCTCGGCGAGGTCCCTCGGCGAAGGCCATGTTAGGGGCTCTCTTGGGGTCCCCGTGGGGCCTCTTTGAGAGCGCTTTGTGGGCCCTCTTGGGGCTCATTGGAGGGGTCTGGGAGGCCTCTTGGGCCGCATGACTCAAATAGAGGGGGAGGTCTTAATTTGGCTCCCCCCCTCGGAGGCTCAACAATGGCGTCTTGGAGCGCTCTTGGGGTCCGCTTGGGCCCCTCTTGGGCCTCTTTCGGGCCGTATCGGGGCCATCTTGAGGCCTCCAAAGCGCATCGGAAGCGAAACAGCGAGAAGGCCAACACCATTGATGTTCTTACAGGTGTCGGAACCATGTTGGCCTCGTGAGGGGGGTCCTCGGAGGGCTCGGCAGGCACTGGAAACCGTCTTGGGGCCACCTTGAGGTCTTTTGAATGTGCGTCGGAGGCTACCTTGAGCCATCTTGAGATGTCTTGACCCATCTTGGAGACCACTTTGGACTTGCGGAGGCGCTCTTGGAGCCATCTTGGACAAACGAGCACCCTCTGACACCTTGCCCCCCCCTTCCACGCCCAGGGTAGGGGATAGGGGGCGGCCCGCCCGCAAGTTATCTCGCTCACTCCCACCCGCACTCCCAACACATATGTAGCACCCCGGCCTCAGCACGTCAGCGGTCGTCTATGGGTGGGCAGCTTCTGGGAAGGAAAACAGACCCCCATGTGCGCGATGGGGCGAGGTGCGCCACGCGTGCCAGGCGCTCCAGGTGCGCCGAGCGCCCCTGGGGCCCAAGCGTGCCAGGCACGCCTCGCGCGCCAGCCCCCCACGTGCGCCATGTGTGCCGCGTGGTCCAGCCGCGCCAGGTCCGCCACGCACGTGACAGCACACATCGGGAAGCATGTCGGTTCACACCATCCTTGTCGAAAACCAATGCACAATCGCGGCGAGAAGACCATGATGGTGTCTGGTGGTCCTGCATACAGCAGGCAATATGCCAGCAACCCCGCGGCCCTTTTCAAACACCAGTGGACAGTGATCGCGGGGTGGCCGCGCATGATCGAGAGTTGGCTGCGAAGTGCACGTTGTAATGTTTTTTGGTAGGGATGGTGGCCCTGCGCAAAGCATGCAAGATAAGAGCGCCCCGGTCGTCCCAGACATAAAACTGCAAAGCTCTCGCCGGGGCCATGAACATGACCCAAGATGTTGACCAAGAGTGTGCTTCGTACTGTTCTCAACGGGGATGGGAGGCGTCCGCATTGGTCCTGGTTGACTGCCGGTTGCCTGGGGGAGGGGGTGTTCATTAACAGGGAACATTGGCAAACCCCTACCCCGAGAAGGGCCACGTTCGTTAAACCACCTACGCCCAAAGGGCTGGTAGGATTCTGGTGAGCGGGCCCCAGAGCCGGTCATGGCCCTGAGAGGAGGACGACGGCGGCAGCGGCGATGGTGGGGAGGAGGACGACGGCGGGGACGATGGCGGCGGTGGGGATGGTCTACCTGCTCCTCCCTCCTCGTTCCCTCCTGTCCTTCGTCTCTCCCTCCCCAATCACATCTGGCTGCCCCTCCCCAGCTCCTCCTCTTCCTGTCCTCGCCGTCACCTCCATCCTCCTTGTGTTGCTCCCGGTCCTCCTTCTCTTCGTCATCCACCTCCTTTTCCTCGTCCTCCTCCTCATCCTCATCATCATCCCATTTTTCCTTTTCAACTTCATCAACATCTTAGACTTATGTAGGCCATGTCCCCCATTGCCTCCTCCCCTCCGACCCTTCCGCCACCTCCTCATCCTCGTCCTCTTCATATGTTTCATGTCTTTTTCCTCCTCTCCCCATTCCCTCCGTAGCCGCATTTTGCTCAAGGATTGGCAGTCCCTGTTCTGTTGGGTCGGGCGCGCAGATAATCGTTGTCGCCAAATATCGGCAGGAGGACCGCGAAGTTCTTAGAGTGTTTGGGCATCGCCTTCCACGCCAACCGCCACATCAACACTGCGAAGGCGACGACATTCTGTTTCAAACTCCTACTGTACCTCGGTGCTCTCCACGGCGTGACCGGCCGCACGATAGACAGCACTTACGACAAGCACGCCAGCGCACACACCAACGAGGACAGCACCTACGACACCGAGGCTAGCGCGACTTACCTGCCGGACAGCACATCAGACAAGGAGGACAGCGCCAACGAAGACGAGGACAGCACCTACGGCACCAAGGACGACAGCTAAGACAAGGAACAGAGCGCTTACGTCACCGAGGCAAGTACCTTCGAACCACTTTTCAGTTCCACCTCCATGGTCCGCTCCCTGGACACCGAGGCCAGCGCCTTTAACTCAGAGGACCGCGCTTTTGGCAAGGAGGACGCCTGCTACGACAATTAGGACAAGCTTGTTTCGACAGTGCGCGAGGAGTTCTACATTGGAGACGGCGTCGTTGCCGCCTGATGCCCAACTTCGCATCCTGAGTAAGCCATCGCAGCTTCTTCCCGAGGCGTTCGATCTCATGGTGGGTGGGGGGACCAAGAGCTTTCACAGACTTCGAGCAGCTTGTGATTTGCTTCGTCAGTCTTGCGTGGATATATCCGGTTGCGCTGCCGAGCTTGCTGGCTCGGCGCGCCCGCTCAAAAGTTTAAGAGCTCTTACGCGGTGATGCGAATATTTGGGAAACGAGCACGCCCTTGCATGCGTTCACAATTAATTCGTGCACGAGATCCTGCGCTGACAGTCATTGCTGTTTTCGACACCACTGCCGACGCAGGCTTCGAGTACTACGAGCTGCTCTTCGACGGCGGTGCACTTGTGTATCCACACGTTCTGGATGGCCACCCTGAGAAGTGTTAGGCCTCTTCTGCTGCCGATTCCCTCCTCCTCCCCCTCGAGCTTGCGAGCCACGACGCTGTATGTTGTTTCAGTGTGGATCTTCGGGCACTGGAGTAGTCTGCCATCGCATTGTGTATAGTGTAACGGGCACTACGTGAAGTATGGAACGCTCAAAGCTATAATGGTGTTGTTTAGTTGTATTGTGTACCAACGGGCGCAACTCATGGGCTAATCGTCCAAGCATGTTCCTCAGGGACCGCCCGTGCGGACCCCCGGTTCCGCGTGGACGCGAGCGGCACAATGCTCTGGCGAAGTGTCTGGAACGTGAACCCGTGGACACTTCCGGTTATTGCTGGAGACCTCGGAATTCTGGCAGCCCCCGCGAGGTTCGGAAAGCGGCTCAGGCCGGCCGTTTTCTAGCCCTCCCCCCGATGCGAGTTCCGTCCCGTCCCCCTTCTTCCCACCTCCCGCGGCCTCATTCTCTCTCGCCCGTCGTCTCCCCCCCCGCCATTGCCCACTTAATCACCGCGCGCGGGAACGCGCGCGGAGAGGGGAGGCGGTCAGGCGGGCCGGGAGTGAGGGTGGGCAGAGGGGGAGACGAGAGGAGGCGGAGCATGGGGGGGATGAGAAGCAGGAAAATGGTGATGTGAAGTATCATCGCGACGGAGGCGGAGGCGGAGGCGGCGAGAGGAGGAGTCGGAGGCGGCGAGAGGAGGAGGAGGAGGAGGAGGAGGAGGAGGAGGAGGAGGAGGGAGGAGGAGGAGGAGGAGGAGGAGGAGGCGGAGGAGGCGGACACGAGGACAGAGGAGGGGGAGGACGCCCGCCCCTCCCCCCCTGCCCGCACCGCACGGCAGGAGACTTGCCCCCCCGCCGTCTGTGGCAGCCCAGGCGCCGCCGCCCCCGCACCCGCGGAGCCCGCCGGAGGGCGGCGGGCCCGCGCGGGGCCCTCGAGCAGACGCGGGAGGGGCCTTTCGCCAGAGTGATCTTCCGTGCGGGCCCAGCGGGGTCCCCCGTGACGCCGCGCACCGGAGGCCGCTCGTGCCCCGGGCCACTCTTGCGTGCAGCCGACCTCGCGTTTACCTAGCATCGCTCGGACGTGTGCATTTTTCTCGGCGAGGGCCATCGAGGAGAATACTGGGCCATTCTGCGGAAAAAGCCACGCACGAAACCGAGAAATGCACGGGGAATGGACGTCCGAGCGATGGCAGGGTTTTGACGTTGCAACAAGCTTAGATCGACTGGGATCGTAGCGCCAGGGTGGCAAGACGGCGACTGAGGGAGACAAATACCCACGTATTCGTCGTGGCCGACTTGTTAGACTTGGGTCAGCGCAGCCGGCAAACAGAGGGCAGCGGACCCAGAGGGAAATCGGGTTCATTTTGTCGGGCTGGTCGGGACCTCACGGCCTCATCATCCTCCGAGGGAGCAGGAGGAGGGGAGAGGGGGGAGGGAAGAGGGAAGGGAAAGGAGGATGAGGGGGAAGTGGAGAGGAGGGCGAGGAAGAGGCGGAGAGATGGGGGAGGAGCAGGGCGGAGGTGTTGCAGAAAGAAATGGGTAGATGTGGATGGTGGTGGTGAGGAGGAGGAGGAGGAGGAGGAGGAGGAGGAGGAGGAGGAGGAGGAGGAGGAGGAGGAGGAGGAGGAGGAGAGAGAAGGGCGGGGAGAAGGAGGATGAAGGAGGAGAAGAGGGAGGAAGAGGGGAAGGAAGGAGGAGAAGGAGGAGGGAGGAGGGGGGACCAGTCCCCGTTTCGGACCTCAGCACCCTCACGTGTCGATCCGACTCGGCAAACCCTGGACAAGCGCAGGGTCAGGCGGAGATCCGGAGTTTGGGTCGTCGTGTCTTTGTTTCAGATGTTTCACGACGTCGGACTGTTTGGTCCCCCTTTAAACAGCGGAACCAGAGGGGCTTGCAGGCCTGCACCTGGGCGCATGTCTAGCGGTTTCTCCAGCGAGCTTGACGGCTGATTAGTTGGGTTGAGCGGGGAGTGTCGAGGAGAGGAGGTGTAGCAGAGTCGAGGGTCGAGGGGGCGTGCGAGGTGGTGTTGGGGGACAAGGGGACGAGTAGGGAGGGGACGGGGAGGCGGAGAGAAGGGGGGAGGCGGAGAGGGATGATGATTGAGGGGAAGGGGGTGCGGGAGGAGAGAGAGAGAGAGAGAGAGAGAGAGAAGGGAGGGATTGGTGTTTGGCGTGGAAGTGCGCGAGGCAGGTTAAGGATGAGGGCCCCCGACTTTTCGTTGGTGATCCTTCCGCCACCTTCCCTGCCAATCCAGTGACCTGCCTCCTGGCCTCCACACAGGCGCCCTTCCTGTTGGCTGCATGGGTCCCTCGAGGGGGGGAGGGGAAGAAAAGAAGGGGATGGAAGAGAACCCGGAAATGGAGGAGGAGGAGGAGGAGGAGGAGGAGGAGGAGGAGGAGGAGGAGGAGGAGGAGGAGGAGGAGGAGGAGGAGGAGGAGGATGGAGGATGGAGGATGGAGGATGGAGGAGGAGGAGGAGGAGGGCCCGAGCGCCGAGGGTCGAGGCCTTTCCGACCTCGGCAGCCCGGCCGGAGGCCTCCCTCCTCGCGCACTTCTTGCCTTCACCCCCTCGCCACTCGCAGCGCCCTCGCCGAGAGCCTCCTGGGGGTGGCCTAAGTCGATCGCCTGCTCTCCCCCCTCGGTGCCATGGCATGGCAGCTCGTCCGGCCCCGCGGCCGACGAGGCCGCCAGGCCAACCCGGAGCTGGCGGCGGACCTCCTGCGCAGCCTCCTCGGCACTGGGGGCGCGCAGCGCGGCGACGGGCAGCCGTCGCCGGCGCGCCGCCCGGAATGGCGCTGCACCTGCGGCGTCACCAACTTCGAGAACCGGCAGGCCTGCCGGCGGTGCTCCGCGGCACGCGCCGGAGCGCCAGCGGCCTGCCCGCCGCCGCCGCCGCCAGCGCAGAGGGCCGGCGGCGGCGCCGCCTGGCCGGCCCTGCCCGGCGGCCGCGGCCCTCGGCCAGGGGCCCAGGCGGAGGCCTTCCGCCAGGCAGCCGCCGCGGCACGGCGGGCCGGGGCCCCAGCGGAAGCCCTGGAACCCCTTCTGGCGGAGGAACGCGCCGCCCGACAGCGCCAAGCGGAGCGCCGCGGCGACAACCGCCTTGGCGGCTTGAGGACAGCGGCGGAAAAGGCGGCGGCTGCGGCGCACGCAGCGGAGGAGGCGCTGGAGGCCGCGCAGCGCCACCTCGAGGACGCCCGGGAGAAGGCGGCCGCAGCCGAGGCCGCGCTCCGCGCGGAGGAGGAAACACAACGGGCGGAAGCGGCGCGGGCGGCTGCCCCTGGGGCCGGCGCGGAGCCCCCGGAGCTGGCGCGGGCCACGCGCGAACTGCTGGACAGGCTGGAGACTGGAGCCCGGGCCTGGGCGCACGCGCCAGAGCCGCTGCTGGCGGCGATGGCCGCAGCACACGCTGCCCTGGCGGCCACAGGGGAGCCGCCCCCCCCGCCCGACCTGGACGCCGAGCTCGGCGACGCCCAGGGCGCGAGGAGGGACTGGAACGACCTCCACGACGAGGAGCAGGAGGACTCCGAGGAAGACGCCCTCCTCGAAGAACTGGACCGGGCGGAGGCGGACGGCGCGGCCCTCCTCCAGGCCGCCCGCCGCCTGCAAGGGGCTCGCCAGGAGGCCGCCGCAGCCGCCCGCCCGGCCGCGGCCCGGCCGCCGGCCCGGCTCCCTGGCGAGCGACACGCTCCCTACTGAGGCGCCGGTGCGGCTACGCCGGCGTCCGTGTGCACGGCGAGCAACCCCGGGCCGATCTGCCCGGCCTGCCACACGGAGGCGGGCTCCTACCGAGCAGAGGCGGGGGACCGATGCTCGGTGTGCGACGGGGCTGGCGCCGGCGGCTGGCTTCGCTACTGCGGCGGCTGCGACACTCGCCTCTGCCGGCGCTGCACGCTAGACGCCCCGCCGGCCGCGGCGGCCCGAGGGGGCGCGGCGCCCGCGGCGGCGGCCCTGGCGGGCGCGGCACCCGCGGCCGCGGCGCCTGGCGACCTGCGCGCCCCGCCCCCGCCAGCAAACGCGCCGCCGGCCGCCGCCGCCCCGGCTTTGGCCCTGCGAGACCTCTCTGCTGCTTGCTGGGAAGGGCTGGACAGCCTCGACCTGCTGGAGGCATTCGCACTCGACTGCCCTACGCTGCGGGCCGCCCCGCGGCGCGCGAGGGCGGCGGCCGGGCAGGCCACGGAGGAGCTCTGCAACGCAATCCTCCGCGCCCCGGCTGGGGGCGCCGAGGAAGAACGCGCCTGGAAGCTGCTCGCGCTGCGGGAGCGTTTGCTTTTTGCCGCCCCGCTGCGGCTGGACGCGAGGAGCCGGCAGCGCGGGGCGGCGGAGACCCTGGACCGCGCGCTGCTGGTGCGAAAGCGCTGCTCCGCGCTGCTCCGCGGCGACTGGGGGGCGCTGCTGGAGGCGGCCCAGAACGCGGCCCGGGGACTGGCCAAGGCGCGCCGGCAGGCCACCGGAGGAGGGGGCCGCGACGAACGCTCCTTGGCCGACGAGGTCATTCGCAAAGGGATGGCGGAGGAGTACTCCCGGGCCGCCGCTCTGCTGTGCAGCCCTGGCCTCGCGCCTCTCACGCCCGACTCGGCTGCCCAGCTGCAGGCGCTCCTCCAGCCGCGCCCCGCCGCCGCGCTGCCCCCGGCGGCGGCGCCGCCCGCCGGGCCGCCCGCGCTCTGTACAGGGCCTTCAAGAAAACGCTGCAGGCAAGCCCCCGGGGCAGCGGCGCGGCGGCTGGCGGCGGGCGCTTTGAACACTGGCGGGTTGCGCTGGCCCAGCCGACGGCCCTGGCTGCCTTCTACGGCGTGTGTGACCGAGTGGCCGAGGGGCGGGTCCCCGCCAGCGCCGCCGCCGCCCTGGCTCTGGCCAAGCTCACACCGCTGCGCAAGCCAGGCGGGGGGGTCCGGCCCATCGCCGCACCGAATATCTTGCGGCGGCTGGTGGGCCGGGCGCTGGTCTCCCCCCGGAAGGAGGAACTGGCTGAGGCCCTGGGGAGACAGCAGTTTGCCGTGGGCACTGCTGCGGGCACGGAGCTGCTAGCACACACGGCGAGGGCTCTGGCGGAGGCCAACCCCGACCTTGTGCTGGTGGCGCTCGACGCCAAGAACGCCTACTGTTCCGCCCACCGGGAGGCCTGCCTCCGCGGCCTGGAGGAGGTGGCGCCGGCGCCCCTGCCCTACGCGAACCTGTTCTGCCGCCGCGAGTCCCTGTATTACTTCTGGGACGCGGCCGGGGTTTGCCGCCGCTTGCGCTCCACCAGCGGAGTTGACCAGGGCGACCCGCTGGCGCCGCTGCTCTTCGCCTGCGGGCTGCGCCCCCACTTGCCCGCGCTGGAGGGCGACTTGAAAGAGGCGGCTCGGCTGCAGGGGCTAAACCCAGACGACTTGCACGTCCTTGCCTACTTGGATGATGTCGTTGTCTTGGTGCCCTCGGCGCTCGGGGGCAGGGTGCAGACGGCGGCGCAGAGGGCCCTGGGCGGCCTGGGCCTCGAGCTGGAGCCGAGGAAGACGCAGGCCTGGTCCGCCGGGGCGGCCTGCCCTCCGGGACTGGAGGAGCAGTGGCGCGCGCGGGGCCTCACCCTCGTGGGGGTCCCCCTGGGAGGGCCGCTGCCCCCCGGAGGTCTCCCGGACGAGAGCGACGCGCGCCGGGTGGGCCTCGGCGGGGAGGACTACGCGGCGGAGCGCTGCGCAGAGACGGCGGGGCGAGCGGCCGAGCTACTGGCCAAGCTGGCGGAGCTCCCGGCGACGGCCTCGCCGCACCTGCCGGCGCGGCAGACCGCCGGGCTGCTGCTCCGGCACACCGGGGCCAGCAAGCTGACGCACCTCCTCCGCGCGAACGCGCCGGCGACCTCGGAGGCCGCCCCCGGGGCTTACGACGAAGCCCTCTTGGCGGCTTACACAGAGCTGGCGCGCCTGGACCCGCTCACGGAGCCGGAGCAGGCCCAGTGCCGGCTGCCGCTGCGACTCGGCGGGCGCGGCTTTCGCAGCCAGCGACAGCTGGCGCCGGCTGCCTGGGCTGGCTCCTGGGCGCAGAACCTGAGCGGGGTGAGGGAACGCACGGGGCTCGCCTGCCTGGCCAACCTCCACACCTGCCCCCTGCCCCTCGCTCGCGCCTGCCGCGCCGCGCTGGCCGGGCTCGCGCAGCTGCCGCCGCCGCCGCCCCGCCCGGGCGCGGAGCCGGCCGAACTTCCCAACTGGCAGACGCTGGCAGAGACGCCGCAGCGAAAGCTTCAGAAGGGCCTCACCGCAAGGATCGACCACAAAAACTACGACACCTTGCTGAGGGCCCTGGAGCCGGTGGCGAAGGCGCTCTTCCGCTCCTGCGGCGGGCCACACGCGGGCGCCTGGCAGACGGCCTCGCCCGGCCTGGACGCCCAGCGGCTCGACGACGCCGACTACTGCAGCACGGCACGCGCGCTGCTGGGCCAGGCCGCTGCCCCCCCCGGCGCGACCTGCTGCAACCGCGCGCGGACCGGGGAGCGCGCCGGGCAGCGCTGCGGCGAGCCGCTCGGCGACCGGGCGCGCCACGCCTGGCGCTGCGCCCGCGGGGGCGGCCTCAAGGCGCGCAGCGGCGACCTCGAGCGCGCCTGGGGCCGTATCCACGCGGAGTGCGGCTTCCGGGTCGAGCACCAGCCGCACGTCCCGGCTTGGGACCGCTGGCGCTGGCGCTGCCCGCGCTGCGACGCGCGCGGCAACGCGCCAGACCGACCAGCGGCGCCCTGCGGCAGCTGCGGGGCCGCGCTGCAGGCGGAGAGGGAGGAAGCCATCCTCGACCTCGAGGTTCAGCGGGCGGACCGCCCACGGCTGTTCCTCGACGTCACCGTGCGCTACTGCGTACCGGGTGACGCCGCCGCCCTGGCTGCTGCGGCCGGCCGCGACGGCGCGGTTAACGCCGAGGCCGAGAGCGACAAGCACCGGCGCTACCCCGCGGGCCGCACCCCGTGGGCCATGGTGCCGCTCGCGCTCGAGACCGGCGGCCGGCATGGGCGGGCAGCCCTCCGGCACCTCCGGGAGCTCGCACGCGGGGAGGCGGCTCTCCTTGGCGAGGAGGCCGCGGGGGCAGCCGCGAGCGCGCTGGCCAGCCGCTGGGGCCGGGAGCTGAGCGTGGCCCTGCACAAGGCTACTGCTCGCCAGCTCCGGTCCGCGCTGGGCGCGGACTGCGCCAGCCGGGCGGCCGAGCTGCGCGCCGCCGAGGCGGCGTAGCTGGGCCGGGGCGCCGGGGCGCTGGGCGGGGCTCAAGGTGGTCGCCTACTGGGTCGTCGTGTTCCTCTTCTTTGTCGCCGCGTTGCTGGAGATGGTCAGTGGGGGTTCGTGCCACAGACCGTCTCGCCGCCCGCAGGAGGATGGAGGAGGAGGAGGAGGAGGAGGAGGAGGAGGAGGAGGAGGAGGAGGAGGAGGAAGAGGAGGTCCTCAGGCTCAGGCTCGGCCGCGCGCGGGGCCTACCCTGGAGCATGCACCCTCCGGGACGCTCCGCGCGTCCGCCCACGGCTGCCTCGGCTGCCCAGCGCGTCCGCGCCGTCGGCCGGACCCGCGCGACGACGAGCGACGAGCGACGACGGCGACGACGAGCGACGGCGGCGGCGGCGACGGCGACGGCGGCGGCGGCGACGGCGGCGGCGAGCGACGACCACAACGGCAGCGACGGCGGCGGCGACGGCGACGGGCGTGGCCGGCGGGCGCCGTGCCCCCCCCCCCAAGGCGGCCCGGCGCCGCAGACGCCGCCCCGGGCCGGCAGCCACGGCGGGGCCGCCGGGGGGGCAGAGAGAGCAAGAGAGGGAGGAGCGAGAAGCGAGATGCCGACTGCGCCCGATAGCGGCCGGCACGAGGCGCGAGCTGCGCCAGTGCAGCAAGGCACGCAAGAGGGGCGGATCTATACTCCGCAGGCCGCTCCGGCAGGGCGGGCGGAGACCGAGGCTCGCCACGCAGCGTGCCCACGGCCACACTCTTCAGCCACTCGTTGGGGCGCAGCGTGCCACGTGAAGAAGAACTGGGCAGCGCCAGCCAGCGGGGGTCACTGCCTGGAAGCCGAGGATGCGAGGAGGGAGGGAGGGAAGGGAGGCACCAGCTGGAGGCCGCCGGGTCCGTGGAGGGATGGCCTCGGGTGTGGAAGTCGAGGATGCGAGGAGGGAGGGCAGGACGGGAGGCACCAGCTGTGAGGCCACCGAGTCCGTGGAGGGATGGCCTCGGGTTGTGCGGCCGTGCCGTCGCCGCCTCCTCTGGGGTGCGGCGCGTCCCCCGCGGACCCGCCCTCGGGGTGTGGGCGCTTCCGCCAGGCGCTGAGATCCAATCAATCGATCGGCTACGTAGCCTGGGTGGCAGACACGGAAGGACAAGCAGGAGAGAGAGAGAGAGAGAGAGGTAAACGAGGGACTCCAGGAGGCGGCAGGGACGAATGTCGGGCGTCTTTGGGGGTCCCGATGGGGTCTTTGGGGGAGTCTTGACGGGGTCTGGGGGTCAATCCGTTCTCGGGAGGAGATGACGACACCTCACCCCTCCGTGAGTACGGTCAGGTCACGGTTCTGGCCCACCACGCTGCGGCGCGGCATGTTATCCGTTCCCGAGCCTTTCCCGACCTCCCGCCCCGCGGAGCGGAGCGACATGCTATCCACTCCCAGCGACGCGCTAGCCACTCGCAAGGCATAGCGTGTCGCCAGTGTCGCCGAGGTCGCCGCCGCGACGCGCTAAAAGCAAAAGAGCCCGACCGTAGCCGTTTGGCCCGAGCCGCTTGGCTCCGCAGGCGCTGCCGAGCCCCAGGCGCGGCCCGCGCGCGCCGGGGCGGCGTGCTGCCAAAGGCGGGGCTGCGTCGCACGCCATGGTGCCGTGAGCGGTATGCCGAAGCTGCGGCTGGGGGTACAGGACGCCGCAGGCAGGGCCGAGGCCTCCCAGATGGGGCTGGAGTGGAGGGGGGGGGGTCGGCGGACAGCGCCGCATCGCCCAGTCATCGGCGATGCGGCTCGGTTGGCCTTGCCCGCCCATGCATCGCCGATGCATCGGCGGCCCGGGTGCTGCCAGAAGTGGTCCTGGCCCAAGGCGTGCCCGGCGTTACGCCCCACTCGGGGGACTCTGGAGGCCATCTGCGCCTCCCCAGGGAAAGCTGGGGTCATCCAGGGCCAGAGCCGCTTCTAGCAACACCTGAGCCAAGGCCTTCCAAATGGGGCCCGGGTATGTGGGGTCGGAGCAGAGTGCCGCTTGGCTGATCCATCGGCGATGCGGCTCGATTTTGAGCCCGATGCTTTCCAACCATCCTGTGGTGGTGGGTCCTCGTTTTGAAGAGACAGCGCCCCGCGATCTCCCTCCTCCTTCCTCCCCCTCCTCCCTCCTCCCTCCTTCCATCCCTGCCTCTGCCTTTCCTCTCCGCGTGCCGTCATCACCATCATCATCGTAATCTTCATCGTGATCACCATCGCCATCATCGGCCTCATCAGCGTGTCCAGCTCGGCACACCCCTCACACGTTTTGTGGCCCCATCGGGAGCTCCACCGAAGACCCCAGTGGCAGCGCCCGCATGCAGTTCCACCCTCCAATTTCTCAGCTCACATGTTTCGCGGCCCCATAGGGAGCTCCAACTAAGGCCCCAGTGGAAGCGCACGCATACAGTTCCACCCCTATTTCGACGCACCCCTCACACGCTTCTTGGCCCCAGAGGGTGCTCCACCTAAGGCTCCAGTGGCAGCGCCCGAACGCAGGTCCACCCTCCATTTCGGCACACCCGTCACACTTTTCGTGGCCCCATAGGGAGCTCCACCGAAAGCCCCAGTGACAGCGGCCGCATGCAGTTCCACCCCCCACGTCGGTGCACCGCTCACACCTTTCGTAGCCCCATAGGGAGCTCCACCTGAGGCCCCAGTGGTAGCGCCCGCATACGGTTCCACCCCCCATTTCGGTGCACCCTCACACGTTTCGTGGTCCCAGAGGGAGCTCCAAGGCAGGCCCCAATGGCAGCGCCCGCATGCAGTTCCACCCTCCATGCCGGCACAGGAGTTCCTCCGAAGGCCCCAGTGGCAGCGCTCGCATGCAGTTCCACCCCCCAGATCGGTGCACCTCTCACACATTTCGTGGCCCCATAGGGAGCTCCACCGAAGGCCCCAGTGGCAGCGCCCGCATGCGGTTTCACCCTTCATTTCCGCGAACCCCTCACACGCGTCGTGGCCCCATAGCGAGCTCAACATACGGCCCCAGTGGCAGCGCCCGCAGTCCCGCCACATTTCGGCACACCCTTCACTCGCTTTTTGGCCCCATAAGCAAAACCACCGAGCACAGTATTCACAAGGGCGGAACGCACAACTGCATATGGTTGGGCCCTTCGCCAGGCTATTTCTACGCACACGTCGCCGATGCGTCGCCGATGTCGGCGATGCATCGGCGATGCGGCGCGATCCTCCGACCCCAACTACTCGAACCCCATCTGCGATGCCCCTACAAGACCAAGGGGGAGGGGGAGGACGACGATGGCAATGAAGAACGAGGATCAAGAATTGTTGTTTATGTGTGCGCTCTATGGCAGTTGTTGTGCCTCTGGGAGGCTTCTCTCCGCCACGGCCAGAATTTGACTCGAACTTCTGTCCATATTGCACCGAAGGGCAGGCCTGGGTGGACGACGACGAGGAGGGGGAGTGGGCGCCTTTTCCACCACCATAAGCTGTCCATACCGACCGCATCGGAGTCGTGCCTCGTGATCGCGAAGACCCCTCGAGGTGGATATGGGTATTTGCCTGCCCCTCAGGGTGGGAAGGTATCTATATCCAACGTTCCTCCGGAGGTCCGCTTCCTGCATGAATCCCAGCTGCGGTTGCTCAAGGGATACGAGGATCATCGTAGACTGCCAACTGCCGCCTAGTCTCACGCAGAGCGACAAGACTCCCCACCACGCCAGGGACCCACAGAGACCTTCAGTCCCACAGGACCGGCGAGAGGGGGAAAGGCGGAGCGGCGTGAGCCCATCCGAAAAATCAAAGAAGAAGACCACCGAGAGTGCACTATTTTCTCCCACGGCACAAGCATGATCCTGGGGGGTCGCTGACCCCGAAGCTTATAGTGAGGCGGCTGGGCGTTTCCTGACCAGCTGCCTTGTGCCCACTGTCATCGGCTCAGCAGGAAAGAAAGAAAAAGCAGACAGAAGAGGAAGGAGGAGAGGAGGAGGAGGAGCCAAAAACTTAAGGTGGGGCTGGCTACGATCGTGACAACGATAACATGGCACACCATCAATCGTAGACTGCCAACTGCCGCCTAGTCTCACGCAGAGCGACAAGACTCCCCACCACGCCAGGGACCCACAGAGACCTTCAGTCCCACAGGACCGGCGAGAGGGGGAAAGGCGGAGCGGCGTGAGCCCATCCGAAAAATCAAAGAAGAAGACCACCGAGAGTGCACTATTTTCTCCCACGGCACAAGCATGATCCTGGGGGGTCGCTGACCCCGAAGCTTATAGTGAGGCGGCTGGGCGTTTCCTGACCAGCTGCCTTGTGCCCATACTTCCAGAAACCTTCTTGGAGCGGTTTACCGGAGGGCGGGTCGGGTCGGGACCTTTAAAATACTCCAGGATATCTTTGCTGAGCCGGGGACGCAACTGCTTAACTCGATTCAACTGTGCACGGGAGAGCAAGCTACGACTACGCAACATTCCTGCTGGCTTGGAATATCGTTTGACGGAATTAGCTGACAGCCACCTACCTCTCTGTTGAATCGCACTCTCTGAAACCTTGAAATACCAGCTATCGTGCGAAGGCCCTGCGTGCCGCCACGAGTGAGGAGACAAAGGGAGCGAGGCAGAGAAGTGTTGTGTACGGAAGGCTCTGCACAGACTCTCCCACCGGCTCAGAGACAGGCTAAAGAGCGGGCCTGTCGGGCGCCGGCGGCACAACTCGGCGAGCAGCGTGCTGATCCAGCCGCGGTCGTGGGCTCCGGCCACGGTGGAGGCGTCGAACACCCTGTTCTTAGCTGGAAGCGCGCCGGTCGCCGGCGCCACGGTGACGATAGTGTCTGGGCGGCCTGCGGATGGCAACGTGACCTCGTTCGCGGTCAAGGCCAGCACCTCACTCGGCCTGAGGTAGCAGTCAAAGGCCACCCACGAGGCTGCCGCAGCCTCGGGGCCGTCACCAGGGTCGGTGCCGTCGCCATAGAACCACTCGGCGGTCGCCAGCACGATGAACTCGTCGCTGAGCGAATCGCGGGGCCGCTCCGGCGCCGAGCGAAGGAAGCCAGCGAGAGCAGCTTTCGCCAAGGGAAACGTGGAGTTGGCCCTCGGCGGCAGTCCCAGCACGTAGGCCGACCCGTAGATGGCGTAGCGCCCCGCGGACGGGTTGTCGCCGTTGAGGAAGAGGCTGTCCAGGTACTTGTCGAGCACGGTGTCCCACTCGCCAGGCGTCGTGGGCCGCAGGCCGCGGTCGATCGCCCACTGCGCCAGCTCCGCGTGGGCCGCAGTGTAGGCCCGGGCGGTCTGGGGGCGCACCGACGCTCGCCGGCAGACCCCGTCGCCAGAGCCGTACGCCTCAGCACGGTGGGCGGCGCGGCGCCGCCGCTCTCGCTGCCGTGCGGCGAGCCCGACGATGAGCGGCGGCGTCTCTGGCCTCGGCGCGCCACGGCTTCCCGTCCCAGAAGCTGACTGCCCCCTCCCAGCCGAGCGGGCAGAGCCGCGGGATTGACGGGAGGACCACTGGTCGAACTGTCCTGATGTCTCTCCCCGTCGCGGCTGCCAAACGTCGCTCCCAGTCAATGGCGACGCGCGGCTCGCACGCGCCACG